AGTAAAATAATATTCCAGTAGGCAATTGACATTTTAACATTTTTAAGGAGACCTCAGCGTAGGTGGGAGGATAACATTAAGATGTACCTTAGGGAGATGGTACTCGATAGAGCGAACTGTATGCCGAGTACCAATCGACTTTTCGTAGAAGATCTTGCACATTGCAGTGTGTGAGTGGCGTGAACTAGGCCTGATCTCCACTTAGAGATTTTGTGACTGTTCCCAATTGTAATTCTCCCGTTCAACTGATATATTTTAATTACATTTTGTGCTTGAAGTGTATATAAATGTGTAACTTAGGCACGAAAGTCCTTAATCAAGTGAGCTCTCAAGCACTTTTAGTTCTACAGAGAGAGAATAACTCAAAATATTTATGCTTATGAAAAGGCGTAGCCTTCTTTTTCCAAAATTTATTTGTAAACTGTCTGGTTCTGCATGAAAGGTCACGCAATTTCTATTTCGTATTTTTGTCTTAATTCTTTTTAAATCGGTTCACCAGAGTAGAAGCATCAAAGACTTTACGGATTGCATTGATATTTTATACTTTGAAGATTTAACTTTATGCGAGTAATGACAAACACGCGGCATGACTTAATATTGCCTAAATCAGTCACATCTTCAGGGTGATTAAGTCGAGAAGAATGAGATTGGCGGGACATGTAGCGCGCATGGATTGGACAAGAGGTGGTTGGGAAGCCTGAGGGGGAGAGACCTCTGGGGAGACCTAGACGTTGATGGGAGGATAATGTCAGGCGGGATCTACGGGAGATAGGAGTTGAAGGAGACTTGGATTTTGTTGGCCCAGGACAAGGTCCGGTGGAGGGATTTTATTGATTCGGTGATGAAACTTCGGGTATCATAAGCCATCTAAGTCGTTAGTTATACGCCATATGTAAAGCTTTGTCACTTTGCATTGAATGTCAAGAGGCATTTCTGTAACACAGAAACAAACTGACTCCTTGGAGTCGAAGTCCTGCTTGAGAATATAACAGTAGCCCAGGTGGTCAAATGTCTCTCCTTTTATGAAACATTACGTTCCGTGCCTGTGTTTACAAGACCCCGCCTCTAAGCCATATCCACAAGCAGATGAAGCCAGTGCACACCTTTAACCGCACCTCTCGAAGATTCATTTTAATATTATCCCAGCAACGCATAGGACTCTCAAGTGACCCTTTCCTTTCAGGTCTTTCGACAAAAATGCCACATTTCTTGTCTCTGCCATGTGTACTACATGTCCCGCCCACCTCATCCCCCTGATCTGAGAACCTAACATTTATTAATTAGTGAAGGGGCTGATAAAGCTCCAAAGTATGTAGTTTTCGCCACTCTCAGGCCCAGGTATTCTTGTCAGTACCGTGTTTCCTCTCAGTCACTCTCAGTTGATGTGCACACGTGTCAGTATGAAGAAAAATCTGTAACAGCGATGGACTGTCTCTTCAGGAGATGGAGTCAAACCAACATCGCAGCTGTACTCAAGAAGGCGGCAGGTGCACATGCACCAAAGCATTGGTCCGTCTGAATAAACTAAGAGAGAGGAACCTCTTGTGTGACGCGGTGCTGAGGTTGGAGGATGGCGTCGTCTTTCCAGTCCACAGAGTGATTCTGTCGATGCGCAGCGAATATTTCAGGTTTGTTTGTGTGGTTGATTGACACGTGAAATAAGGACATAATAGACGTTAAATGTGAAATGTTATTTCCCGTAAGTTTAAGACACCTGCATTGTTATATGTTCATTGTCATGAAATCTCACGGGGGGGGGGCGTAGAAACTGAGTGGAATTTCAGACGTACTTACTGTCTTCTTTCCTTGATGATAGAGGCTGTAAGCACCTCTGAAACGTCCGATAATGTCTATGAGACAACAAGACGTAACATGTAAGTTATATTCTCTTAAGCTTACGCACGATCTACATCTGGTCCCATTAGACCATATTCTGGGAGTTTTGAAGTGTTCAGAACACTGCTTTTGTTCTACGTAAGTTACAGAAAGTTAAACATAATTAGCATGACTTGTAACATTCCGCTCGTCGTCTCTCGAAATCAGTGTAAATTAACGACTGTTTCGTGACCTTTCAGGACCCTCTTCACGACAAAACTGCACACCAGTGAGGAGACTGAGATTCTCCTCCACGGAGTCAGCTCAGACATCATGACCCAGATACTGGATTATGTTTATATTCGCGAGGTGGACATCCGCTCCGACAACGCGCGTCAACTGATCGTAGCGACTGACTACTTGTGTATTCCGGAAGTTACTAAACTCTGCTGTGACTTCCTCAAGAACGCGATGGACGCTGACAACTGTATCGGCATCTTGCAGTTCCCAAGGTAATTGATGTTCATTTGTCATTGGCTTTACTCAAGAGAGCAGCCGAGTGCCGGGTCGGAGATTAAAGCCTCTCAATGAGGACTGGGCAAATTTTAATGCGTTGTAGGTCAGGGCTGTTGGCCGATTATTATTAATGTGCCTGTAATCTAAATGTTCTCATTTAACTACAGACGTCTTGATCGTCATTATGTCCAGCAGATAAGTAATTTTACCACGTAGAACGTGAATCACAGGGTCACAAAAAAATCTCTTCCTCTCGAATTCCTTCTTTCTTACTCTGTGACATTTCTTGTTTCTTAAATAATCCTCCCAATATCAATATCATCATTCAGCCTCACATGTTTCTGCATAGAGCAAAACCTCTGTTAACCGACTCTCGATTATCCGATTCCCTCATTAACCGATCGATTTCCACCTGCGAGAGTGTGTAACTCGACGTCCACGCGGTACATTTCATTGAACTAACCTCACACCCAGATTTTCCTGATTATTATGAACACTTCAGGACATTTAGAAAATTGGTTATTATCGGGTAAAGACAACAAACAACCTGTTCGTTCCAGTAGAAATTGAACCACTACTCCATCTCGTTCAGAACAACATTAAAAGCAAATCAACTGGCATAGGCAGGATCACACCAGAACCTCCACCTCATGCGATGGACTGAATGACTGGTAAATTCACTCTTTTAGTACAGGGACTCCCTCGATCAGCGCTCACGGGTGACTCTTTTGCCGGAGAATTGTGCGTGCGAAACGCCCGCATCATCTGCCGCCGAGTAAAATCTGTATTGAGTTTCTACTGATTTGTTCATATCCAGGACCACGTTCCCCTTTTCCTCGCTCATACGACTCACCGGCTTATCCATTACACGTTTTTTCACTGGATTAACACACACAGTAAATACAATGTCGTTTCGCCAAGGTTAAGGCCAGAATTCAAAATTCTACCCTTTTCATCTCACTGCCTTCTTCACTTGCGTACACCGTGCCCTTGTTTCAACCGATAACCTTATCACGAGGACGAGCGGGCATTGCCTGGGAACCCTCATAGCCGAAAACTTACTATTTTGCCCAGGTTAAACGGAGCGTCTCTTCTCAGTCTCACTCATTCGTTATTCAAAATGCCAAGGTAAAAAGAGAAGGCGAAATACTGTGGTGTGCAGATGCTTCAGAATTAGGTTCTCGCTGAAGTGTTTCAGTTCGATAAGATTTTGAAGGAGCTCATGAGTCGGTTCTTACTCTCGCTGTCGCAGGTTTCACTTCTTCGCCGACCTCGAGACTCACGCTCGTCGCTTCGTTCTGCGCCACTTCGTGGAAGTGTCTCAGAAGAGCGAAGACCTGCTGGAACTGCCCGCAGAGGAGCTGCAAGCGATAATCGAGACCGAGGAACTGAACGTGAAGAACGAGGAAGTTGTGTGGGAGTGCATTCTCCGGTGGATCAACCACGACCCGGACAACAGGAAAGGCCACATCGCGGACCTTTTGAAGGGCGTCAGACTGGGACTCCTTGACGAGAAGTATTTCGTTGAGAAGGTCAGTATTCCCCTGAAATAGTGGATGTTTATGGAAAGTGAAGCCCAAATTTTCAATTCCATTTTCACAATTTCTAATTAATGCAAATCTTGAGCGTTTTGCTTCGACCTGTGTGAGCCTGTCCGTCTGTCCGCAGTTCCAGCTCGAGAACGTCTAACCGGATGTTCATTAAATTTAATAATGTTGGTTGTTAAGAGATTCTGTTGACAAATTCCAATTCTGGTTAAAATGTTACAATAACAACGTGAAAAACACAATTTTTTGAATGCCTTATTCCTCGCAAAATTTGCTGAGTAAGAAATCTCCAGATTACCTTGGTTACCATGGTTACAATAAATACCTGTACAATGACGCTGGTAACACGCACGCATGTGTGTGTGTGTGCAAAACAAATGCTTGATTTGTCCTTTCGTGCAGAGATGTGGTTGGAGTTAATGACCGTCTGTAAGCGTCGATTACTTTGACAGTCCGTCTGCGCTACAATCTTTGATTACAGTCTCAGCTTTTATTAAGATCCATTACATGTTTCAGTTCAACTACAGCATTCCACTCTCAACTACATTCAAACATCCATTCTGATTGAATAGGAAAATCCTCCAACAGATAATTCACGTTTTCCGGCGCAGCGTTCTACTTAACCAAGGACCCTACCGCCATAAGAAGCCTGTCTTAGCTGCTATAATAATTTCACGTATCTCCGACGATATATATAGATCACTTCAGCATGGTAAAGCTCAGCTGATTGACCACAAAGGGGCAACAGATGTCCGAAAAGTACAGCAAGATAGCTTCATTTTACCTCCAGGAGTAAATTACCCGAGGGGCTTCTAAATCTTAGACAGCTTGAACATTCTAATATCTTAACCGTCATCTCACGAAACAGCCATATTCCTTCTTCCATTTAACAATGCGCTTTAACCCGAGAGAAAATTTCTTTCTACTCTATATCAAATGCCCTGTGATTTCAGCCACTCACCTCTTACGAATACGTGCGAAACAATCCCACGGATCCATGAAAACGTTTTCTGCTTCAAATGTCTTTACAATTTATCATTCGTATCTACTAGTTTCGAACACTTAAAGAAAACCACCTGATAATGACCAAATAAGGTCGAAACATGCAATGGATCGTAATAGACATTGAGTCCAAAGTCACATATTCTTTGTGCACGGACCTTCAACCCAACCATCAACATGCAACTCGAAGCCACTAATTGTCATAATTATATTTCGATTAGCTAAAGTTATCGAAACAAAAGAATGTGGTGATGGCGGCGTGCATCTCGCACGGGATAGACGATAAAAGAGTTACGTTTTTGAATGTAACTCGAAATGCAACCCTTACTGAAGTATTTTACTTTCGGTTGAAACACATTTCTCTAAGATCGATTGTGGATTTCTTGTCTCCTCTGCTATGACTGATGCCATTTCTTCCTAAGAGTTCATAAGGTCCACATTGAACTGTTCAACAGATTTCGAATCATCCGTACGTGACGGAGAACGAGGCGTGCAGTCCCGTGATCTTGGAGACGCACGCGTTCTTACGCGACTTGCAAATGATGTCGAAGGAAGACAAGGACTTTGTGACACCAAGGATTGCCCGCCCGCGAATCCCACAGGACATTCTTTTTGCTATTGGTGGGCGTTATGAAGGAGGGGTGACAGATGTGATCGAAGCGTACGACGCACGAGCAGACCGGTGGAGTGTGGTGAGTTGCATAAATCTCTACTTTTTCCGTGCCTTGTTAAATGACGCCTCCGAGAAAACTAACTTTTTGTTGCTAATTTATACAAAGTAATTGTTTATTTAAGCTTACTCATAAGCACCTCTGTGCCTTCCCCTTTTTAAGAGAAGCTTCAAAGACATGAATTAAAATGAATAAATAAATAAATTTGAACAGGTGCTGAGTCTCATGTAAAATACGAGTCCTAATAGGAATCAACGAAAAATATTAAGTTTGCCTTAAATATCATTTACGATAAGCGTCCAACATCAATTGATTTTAGACATGAAACGAAGTCTTCGTTGATCATCACTGGATTTCCTCGTAATAAATGATCAGTGTCGATGTCGGCTATTTGCGTGGTAACGCCGCGTGAATTAGAAGGCTGATACACTGTTTGGAGTGAGGGACGTACTGCCTCCAGCTTTGCGTCGATAAAACCCAAAACACCAACATCTGTCTGTACCATCATAGTAAAATGAAATGTCTGCTATTGATAAGAAATTCTGCATTTGGCTGTCGTACTAGGCGAGAGAATTGGCGATGTTGAAGATTACTATTCGGGGTCATCCTGTTTCCTCCGTCTCTCATAATTCCACCTTTGCTCCAAGTTAATTTCTCACTCCCTTTGTCGAGTGCGGTAGGCCCAGCTTCCCATCACGGTGTAGCAATTGGTAGTTCGCATTAGTAGACGAAATGACCCAAAGAAACATAAAACCATAACCTGGTGTTCCTGCAGGTGGAGGCGGTCAACTCGATCGGACTGCGAGTCCTCTATGGTACGGCAGTACTCGGTTTCAACATTTACGTCATCGGTGGTCACGATGGCGGGGAAAAATTACGCTCATGTCATTGCTTCAACGCTGTTACGAAGACATGGCGCGAGGTGGCGCCTATGAATGAACGTAGGTAAGATGTAGATCGGTAACTAAGGAACTCCTTGGGGCAGAGTCCTTCTTCAAAAGCTGATAGTCGCCCTGTTAGTCTAGATATAAATAAGGGCAGGGACTGTAAAATTGTACCACTCACATACAGGAGGACATTTGCGACAATGTTGGTCGTAGGTCAAACCCGAATTGAAGCCATTCACAGACTTCGTTCGTAGTTTTTCCAGGTTTTAAGAATTTGAGTCGCCTTTTAATTTATTTGAATTATGATTTAAGAATGACGAATGCGAGAGGAAATGCATCTCCATCAGCAACAAATGAGCATAGCAGAGCGCGTACTTCTCTTCATTTCAGATGCGATTTAATGGTGGCAGTCCTGCGAGGTGCAGTGTACGCCATGAGCGGTTGGGATGCTGTTATGATTAACAAAACAGCTGAAAGATACGACTGCAAGACGAACGAGTGGTCGTGGATCACTCCTATGAACGTAGATAGAAACGATGCAAGTTCGGCTGTGCTGAATGGTACGTAAATTCTGTGAAACAGAAATTTGTGAATTAGTGCAGAATGCGAGGCGTCTGTCTGTCCGCGTGTAACAACGGAAGAACGGTTGAAGGAATCGCAGGATTTGAGGATCTCATGGTGCTAGTATGAAGATGGCTGTCGTTCGGCTGCTGCCGACGTTTCGGAGGAACCTTATTCCTTCGTCATGAAGGCAAACAACCTTCAAACTATGAAACTGGCTCTCATATAATACAGATGTAATATGTTTTTGAGACAGTTAATAATCTCATGTAAATAGCGCATTGTATTATAAATGTAGAGCAAATTTTGGCAGCTCGTACCGTACATCTCTGTTACCAAATTTAATCAAATTCTATTCACAGACGTTGTGACGTAATATAATTTCCATTATGCATTAATTTCAGCATTTGATGCTGTTTATATTAAATTTTATCAATTATACGCGTTCTCTGTGGCACGCTAATTGTCTGCATTGCAAACAAAGAAACAGATGAACAGAGGCGGCCGTGTCCGTGCAGTTTCTGTGGCTCGAAGGGGGACTTAATAGATTTACATATTTAAGTAGGGATTGTCCCATGTTTGTGCTCTGCATGGATCACTTTAATTATAGCTAAATTTGTTTGTACAGACAAAATATACGTCGCTGGTGGATTATCTAGTGACTCTACCCTAAACTCGGTGGAAGTTTATGACCCGGACACCAACCGATGGACGTTCGTTGCACCGATGCTATCTGGACGTTTACATTTTTCTTGCGTCGAGTTCCATGGCTGTCTGTACGCCATAGGTGAGAACTCTGGACATTCTGAGTGATGCCATTCTGTCCTTTTTACAGAACTTGCTATTGTGAAAGGTTTTCCTGTCATCTCAGAGTTAGTTTACCAGTAACTTTAACACAGATTCGTGGTTTCGATTACATTCTCTACAAAGAAAACTAACTAACTAACAAACAAAAGACAATCTCTTGTGGTATCTCAACTAACGTAAGCCCCATTTGTCACAAAGTCCCCGTTTCAGAGGTAAATATTTTGACCTTGTAGCACGGAAATTTCAGTTGGCCGCGCTGTTATCCCCCAAAAAGCCGATGGTTTAAAGCAGTCCCTTCGTAGGCTTTGCCTTTCGTCAATTGTTTGTGTAACACCGTTTTCAAAAGTGCAGATAGTGTTGATTCATTAACGGTATTTTCGAATGCAGTTTCATGAAACAGAAAACAGATGTCAGGCGCAATTTCCTGATGCTACGAGTACGGATAATATATTGTAGCTCTCTGATCCTTAATTTCGTTCCTGTTACCAATATTAACAATGCAAAAGTGAATGAATTTTCTTCGTTGCATTTACGTAGAATTTTAAGAGCTTAAAGTTCCTTTGAGTAAGACGGTCGGAGTGTGGAGCACTGAAGATACGAGAAATACAAACATCTAGAAATTTATAATTTGTAAATTTGAAGGCAAGATACCAAAGAAGGATAATATTAAAATGTTTTTAAGGAACTAGAGTATGTTCAAAGTGTTCAACTACCGACTTTTGTGAATAAGGTTATGAATCTTGTGGCTGTATAAAGGCCACATTTCGTGGCCAGAGTAATAAATATTAAGAAGGGCCCTGCTGAATTGGGTTAGAAATAGTTTCGTTTGGCTATCACTTATTACGGAATGTGTGTGTGTGCAGGAGGATGGAACTTTACATCATTGAAGCTCACTATGGAATTGTATGACCCTGCAAACGACACGTGGACCAAGATCCCTGGCATGACGTTCGATTTAGTTAACTTTAACGCAGAAGTGATCGACGATATGATTTTCGTCATCGGTAGCCGATGCAATTGGAAATCCAACTTCATTGTCAAATGTTACAAATACAAGGGAGATAAATGGTTTGTTTCTTTCTTTGTTTGTTCTGTTCTGTATAATCACAAACTATTACTTTCGAAACGCACTAGGAAGTGAATCATTTCCAGTCAAGATAACCGCGATCTTGCGGTAGGACAAATATTTTCTTTGACAATATATTGCTAAAAGAGGGAGATATTACCATGAGCACATGTTTCAAACAAGACATTCTTATCTCTCCAAAGAAATTGTGTGATTAAAATATTATTCTGACCGCAAATGTACCAAACGGAGTTAGCGCAGAACACAAGTCAATTGACAGCTTTTAAAAATAGTCTCCCTCCACTTTGATGTAATAAAACGTATTTCGTTATAATATCAGCTTTTAAAAATAGTCATAAACCTCTCCCTCCACTTTGATTTAATAAAACGTATTTCGTTATAATAGCAATTTGGCCGGGGTTCTATGCGCATGAGTGAAAGGAAGATCACGTGGGAGCTTGTCTGAAATATTGTGTGGGAATCGTGCACTGAAGTCCCATTGGGGGAATTTTTGTTAAGTTTGTCTGAAAACAAAATACAAGCAAAGTCATTTCGGTGGAAGCGTTTGCCTTTAGCTTCAAGCAGTTTTCCATTCTACCCAAAGACAGAGCCAGCCCATCAGGCAAAGACACTTTTAGGTCAACACATTTTACGACTCACAAAGATTACTCTCTTATACTTTTTCTACACCGAAATCTCTGATATTTTAGAACCCCAAAGGAAAATTATATATATTTTTAAGAAAATTGTTAATTTTGCACTGACGTTGAAATTACATTGCTATTAAATTTATATTAAATAAATTATTTATGGTAGAAGAGACTTTACTTCAAGAGTTACACCATCTCATGCAGAGATGCATATTTAATGTAACTGTGTCCGCGAAATGTGATAGAAATTGTCTTGAGTGTAGATAATTCTGATGGATGATGAAAGAGGGTTTGATTTCACTTTTAATATTTCAAATTGCAGGTACCGGGCTGCAGACATGAATTTTCGTAGATACAATACGTCGACTTGTGTCATCAAGAACCTACCAAATGCAAGCGATTACGCCTACAAACACAGACCCAAATTGATGGAGGAGAAACGTGAAAAAATGTTGGATTGGCAATGTAACAGTCCTTCCACACACACTCGTCCTTCTGTTGATGTGGCCACGGGTTCGAACCCAGTAGCTAGGCCGGCGCTGGTGCGATTAAAACGTTTGTTACTTCGGTGCGCGGAGAGGGTTAAAGGTTTTCTCAGGATACCTTGACATTAGGTCAGTCGGTGGGCGAGGATCTCCGACTCTCAGGGAATACACGGAGAATTTTGTGAAGGAAACCTATTGGAAAATAGAGATGACGATGCGCGCAAAACATACTACATGGAGCAGTCTCTTTGAGACGCTGGCAGCACGCTCAGCTAGTTAAAAAATGTGCCCTGTGTAAATTTCCGTAATATGCTAGTCGTTTTATGGTGAGGAGTTGTTGGTATCCCACCTGATTTCCAGTGACCCTCCATTTCTGGATGCCTTCTCCTCCTGCAACCAGAGGAAGTGCCGTGCAGTGGTAAAAGATGACTTAATAAATTGGTATTGGTAATGTAAATTACATTCAGCTAACTCAGGGTCATGTACGCTGACGGACTTTACACATAATGAAGACATATGGGCCAGTTTAATCATTATGTCTTAATAAGACATACAGTACGCGATTGTAATCTTGAGACTTGCAAGGAATGCAGGAAGTCTGAAGCCTTAAAGGCACACACTACCTTTCCTCCTTCACCACACTTCCCCACCCCACAAGTCTCAAGATTACAGTTGCGGACTATACGTAACGAGGATCTTAATAATTTGCATTCTTTGGCTTGCTCTTACATTGCGCCAGTACAGATGCGTAAGGTAGGCCGAACACCGGCATGCGTCAAGACATGACGCAAAGAAAGGAGCACAGTTGAAATGAGATTATGAAAACCGCCTCACACCGGTCTGAGTCATGATGCTGACGTCAGCTTCATGCTGCAGACACGTGCAGCGAGACTCTGGCATGTTCCTTTTCTGTGCGTCAAGACTGAGACATCAGTACTCAAGTAACAGCACCAGTGTACGTTATCGACATGAGTGAAGAGTAAATACATATTAAGATAGTGCAGATGGTTGAGAAATTCCCAGTAATAAACGATTATTCGACCCCGGGGTCACTCAAACAAGGAGGAGGTTGATAAAGCTTGGCATTCTGTTTCAAAAGAGGTAAACATAGATGGTAAATGCACTGATTAATTTTATTTTAATGAGCTAATGACTGAATTAACTATTATAAACATTGAGCTTAAGCTCGTTTCGTACAAGTCTGCCCTCACTCACACATAAAAACGAAAAGATTTGTGTTAAAGTGTTCTTGTTCTGCCAACGAAGAGCTACGTTTGGTTTCAAAAAAGTAAGAACACACATGGATTCTGGGGACATTCGATAATAAGACTGGAATTTCACCGGAGCTAAAACGTACGCACACGACTCATTAAAAGTCATGAATCCACTTCCTTTACGTACTTTCAGCCACATTTACATTAAAGTATCTTCCTCACTGGAACGACGTCATGTCACCAACTAGAGAAGATGTGCTGCTTCGGTGTGCGGACTCGAGTCTGAATCACGAATGAAGCAAGACTGCGTCTTTTGTCTCATGTCTTTGGTTGCTTTAGAAACCTTGAAACATCTACTTTTTTCTTAGTGTTGGTATATAAGGAAGAAGGAAATTCATGTTTTCACTCAGGCACTGCTTTGGATCTACTTTTTAGTTCCGGCAACTGCCACTTTGTTTCTCTGCTTGAAGCAAACAGCGAGATACAAAGAACAGATGCAACATGTAATTTTGTGAATCTGAAAGAATTTGAAATCGGTAAGCAGTTAAATTCTGAGAAATAGTCTGATGTGTTCGTGTAAACTTTGCTGTGTGATCGTGTGTTCTTTATATTATTAATGGAGCAAGGTTTTAGATTCTTTATTTGTAACTGAGCTCTTAGTGAGAAGGAATTATGCTTCTTATACTCAAGTAGGGAATTGATTGTACTCCTAGCGATGGTCTTGTTGTTTGTGGCAGAACAAATATTGACAAATTTTGAAAACTGGGACACACATAAAGTAGTTAAAGGTGGATCATCATCATCATATACGTAGTTGATTGGTAGTCTTTTGCTACTGCGATCTGTTGAAGCGTATCACCATATCCTGATTAAAAGCTTTGAAATGACATAACATAAATTAAATATCTCCAAAATTATGAAAATTGTACAATGAAAGATTAGGAAGAACTTTATCGGAGATCGAAACTGTGTCAGTTTGGTCCTGTGAACAGGCAGTGAAACATCAGTTGAGTGTTGCTTGGATTTTAAGTGCGACACTGTCAAAAATGTTGAAGGAATTATTTAAAATTGAGAAACAAGAGCCGTGCTGTTTTTCTTACCAATAGGTACGCAGCTGCCTTCTTTCCTAACGAGGGAAACTTCCCAGTTAATAAATTGATGTTGAAAATTAAATGTAGACGATGGGTAAATAGAGGAAGAGCAGTCTGTGAAGAATTGTGCATTATGTAAGACTTGAGGTTCTCACAGCGGTGAGTATGAAGATATCCGATGAATATCGCCCTGATGACGGAGGCAGTATGACCTCTGTAACGTTGGTGGACACCTACCAGACTACACAGCGCAACAACCCAGAAGACGGATATCTTCATACTCTGATGACGGAGGCAGTATGACCTCTGAAACGTTGGTTAACATCGACCAGACTACACAGCGCAACAACCCAGAAGACAGAAATCTTCATACTCTGATGACAGAGGCAGTATGACCTCTGAAACGTTGTTAAACATCTACCAGACTACACGGCGCAACAACCCAGAAGACGGATATCTTCAATTGTGCATTAGATTGCGGCTCTGTAATGATGTTGCCTCCATCATCACTTTGGGTAACAGATTGTTCATTTCTTTTATATTTAGAAATTTTTTAAATGTGTGATGACTTGGTACTCAGATTATCATCAGTAATTCTTAACCAATCCACCCTGTCTGCCTGATTGATGTGACTATCACCAGAGAAACGAGTCATTCTCCTTGTCTGATGATTTGACACGGACTGTGTCTGTATGTTGAACAGCTAGAAACTGGTTACATAAAAAAATAATCTTCTTGGGCCATCAGCCATGTCAGATTAAAACTCTCTGACATACCAAGGACAATCTCTATCCTCATTCTCTGACGTGGCTGATAAGATATTTTTAATGACAGCTATCCTTTAAAATCAAATTGTTCTGGGTCCATTGTGTTTGTATGGCATAAATTATTGTACATAACCTCAAATTCTTTAGAAAACCAGTTAACACTGAAATTGGCAATTAGTCCTTCACACTAGTTCTGTCTCTTTGCTTCACATAATTTAATGGGTGATTAATGTTTGATCACAAAAGCAGATTATAAAAGTATAAAGATGAGCTTAACCTATCGTTGGTTGGTTAGGTTAGGTTAGACATTTTCCTATGTAACTGTAAGATGCATGCTACTCTTTCTGCTGTCCTGTCTTCTTTAATGGAATTATTTAATTTGCAGTGAATTTAAATAACAGCATCAGCACTGCTATAGGCTAGTACTGATTGAACAATGTCGGAACTTTGTGTCAAGGTTTTTCCCTCCAAAATTGCTTAATCTGCAAATTCGCCTGATTCTTTCAACAGCATTGTGCTAGAAGGAGCCTACATACTCTAAACTAAATATTGCACTTTAATAAATATCCCTAAAGCTAATTTTGTGATTAAACATTGAAGTAGTTGCAAAAAAGAATAGCTCTTAACAGAGTGAATAAGAAGGAGTCTGTATATCTAGAGCAGGACCAGTAGTGGTCAGTATTGCAAAATAAGTAGTTTAAAATTCTTAGTGAAATTCTAAAAGAGACTAAAAACAGTAGACCTGGAGCAAATGCTGATACTATATAAGAGAAACTTGGAAAATTGAAAAGAGAGAGGGAAAATATGTCTAATCAAACAAGCAGTAAAAGAGTAAAGGATGAGCAGAATTTGCTGATGCATTTGTTAGATTGATTGGGGCAATAGATGCAATTTCATTTTAAAATAATCATGTGCCATTATATGCATCAGATTTATAAATATTCCACTACTGAAGTCAAGGTAAGAATGCATAGTCCTTTAACTTCAATGAAACTCAAAACATTCTTATGAGCAAATAACAAGAGAAATTCTGAAACCTTCTCAATCTCTGTTTAATCTCAACTGCAATGATAACGGGTGTCAGTTCTTTAATGAATTTTCAGAATGATGACCACGTCCACCTATTGCGAATACATGAGTAACTTGACTGTTTTGTGTAAATACCACACATGATTCATGAGTGTGAAATCAGTTTCAGACATCCCAATACTTTGATATGATTGCTCTAGTTAAAAACTGCAGTCTCCATTCCACTAATATTTTTTTGTCCCAATGGACTGGCATGGTTTTGACTCCATGTCAGAAATAGCCTGTGCTCAAAATTTCTATCAAATATTTTAAAGATTGCTAGCATCATTAAAATCAGCAATGGAGAAGCTTAGTTATATAGAATTGTCTCTCGAAGATACCACATACTTCTAATACGAAAATAAGAAATTTAAGGTTATGTCACAAGACAATGGCAGAGAGTGGGAAAATGTGGTGTGTGTACATCCAGCTGATTGTGGAATTACTTGCAGACATGAATGTGAATACAGTGCAACAATGATTTTAAGAACATCTTAGTATTATCACTGATAATGCTGTAAGCAGCAAGGTTTTATTTTAGGAAGAATATCTTTAAAAATTATGTGGATTTGAAGAAAAGTGAGGTTATGCTTCAATAACAGTGCTAACAAAGTGATGGTGGCATAGGTGTAAATAGTGCTGGAATGCTTTGTAGGTATTCCTATATACTTCTTGCATTATCATTTACTATAGAAGAATATAGGATTTAAATCCCATCCTACAGGCTGCCAGTCACACTCCTGGATTCAGCAGATATGCTTCTGCAATAAAGAGCCGTGTGGACCTCATGGAAACCATGTTATATTACCAATGAAGACTACATAATTCAGGTATGAGGATTACTTTATGAGTTATGACTTTTCTTGTCAAAGCATCTTTATTTTCATAGGGAGGCTGTTGTTGTGGGTTAAAAAAATTGTTATCACATGTCTTGAAAATGTGTTCCATTTAACCTCTTCCTAGGAAGGCGTAAAGGTCACAAAAACAGGAAACCAAATGACAATTAAATTCTTAATTAGTCCCAGACCAGTTTAAAGAGTATCTCAGTCAGTACAGGGCAGTGGCTAAGTACAGACTGGCCAACCGGGGTTCAGTTACTGGCGGCTGTGGTACACATTTCCCTCTT